TTGCAACCGTGCCCAATAAAAAAACTTCTGTCTACTGGACAACCGAACCCGTGTCTGTCGTTTTCTGACACTGCCATTTACTCAATAATATTATTTTCCTGAAAGGAACAGGACTCTGTTATTAACATCCTCAACTCCTTATTACCGTATTTATGAAGCCATACAAAAACTAAGTGTGTTCATTTTTTCCATGTACATTATTTGATACAGTGGTAAATGGAGTCCTACAACAGGGCACTTTCCCTTTTTTGTAACATTTCTGATAGTTTTGACTTAAATCAATGTATTTCCTGAAATGTGTTTTTGTTCCAGTCTTTCCATATTATTTGAAAAGATGATTTATTCTCTTTTATCACATTATAGGTAATCCTCAAGTTCTGACAGCAACTGGGACTGGAATTTCTGTCGCTAAGTGATGTGGTTGTTAGGTGAAATATCACGTGACTGCATCGTTTAGCAAATGCAATCCCAGAGCTCCCCATTGCTGTCGTTAACTGAATCCCACTGGTCATTAGGAAAGGACCCATCCGATCCAAGCCATTCCTGGCTTGGTCTCTCCCAGCCCCAAGCCTCAGTAGGGTAAGGGACTACCTCCTCTGCCTCCTCTTGAACTCCCCCCACCCACCTATCTCCCTCCATTGCTGCCTTTCTGGCCGCCCTGCACAGTGGCACTCCTCAGCGGTGCTGGTGGTGCTGGGGCTGAAGTAGAGGCCCAGGGCCTTCAGCAGTCTCAGCCAGCCACTACCACCCCCAGGCCTCTACTTCAGCCTCAGTGCCGTCACTGAAGAGTGCCGCTGTGCAGGGTGGCCAGAAGGGCAGAGATGGGGGAAGATAGGCGGGTGGGGGGAGTTGAAGTACCCCTGCGGTTGTAAGTGCAGGCAGGCTGCCAAGCACCTGAATTTTGATCATGTGACCGCAGGGGTGCTGCAATGGCCATAACTTTGGGGGGCCAGGCGTAAGTACTATTCATTCAGCACCACCATAACTTCGAACAGTTGCTGAATGAATGGTCATAACTCGAGGACTACCAGTATAGATCAGCACAGTTAGGATACTTTATTGCGGTTCTTAACTACAGGGAGTCCTTGTAGATCGCAGCAGTGTAGAAAAATAAATAAATGAACAAATAAATAAACGGGCCTTTCCACATCCCTGGACCCCATATTTGCAAGGAGTTTGTGTTCCTTGTGACAGTAGGGCTGCTGGGGGGCAGGGTGGTTCCTGGGATTGTTTTATTGATTTCCTGTTTTGAAAGATTGTGGTCATCCATCTAGAAAGCCTCGCTTACTGGGAGGGTTAGAAAGAGGCAATGGGGGGCGGTCCAGAAAGTCAAAATGGCAGCTATAACCAAACCCTGTAGGGCTTTGATTGCATGGATGTCTTGACTTTTTGGAGTTCCTCCCTGTGGATACCACAAAAGGCACAGAGGTTGTTCCAAGGCCTCCTGGTTGCAGTGCTGAAAAGAGGAGCGTGTGAAAGGCCTAGACCAGCATAGTATTTTTCAGGAAATCCTCAAGATTTTGAATTTTTTTTTTTTGAATCCATTCATCTCTAATCAGAATTTTTAAAAAAAACTATCATAGCATTTTGTTTCTCTTAGCTCTTTGGTTAAGATTTTTTTCTTCCCACAGATGCTAATCCCTACATTGATTCTTGTCACTGTCAATATGGGTCATCATCATTTTAGCCGGTATAACCCAAGAGGTCTCCATATGATAATACCATCAAAGTCAAGATGGAAGCTGCAACCTTGCGATCAAAGCCATGCCCCCTTTTAATATGCATCATGATGGGGTGCAGTTTGGATTGCTTGGCAGTAGCTACCATCTTGACTTTTTTGACCCCACCCTCCCGCAGAACCCCCTGCATCACAGCATTTTTGGATTTGTGGTTCTTAAACTAAACCCACATATACTTGGATGCATTATGTTTAAAGGAATATGCATTGATTTCAAATGTTGCTGATAGCGATAAGGTTTTCTACTGCAATAGGCAAATGGTTTTTCCAGTGTTTCTTCTAAAACTTCTCCTTCAACCTGCTCGCGTAAGCCTCTTCGTGCTTTGTTCTTCTGTGGTCTGAATCAGTGTTTCTCAATCTTGGCCACTTTAAGAAGTCTGGACTTCCACTCCCACTTGATTGGGAAACACTGGTCTAAAATACGATTGTTCTCTTTTCCTTCAGATGGTCTGTCTTCATTTCTTACCGTTTCAGCTATGTTCCTCTTCAAATCAGAAGAGTCAAATGATGCTTTTTCTTTTAATTATATGCTAGCTACATATCTAAGGCAGTATCCAGCGAATGACATCTTTGCATTATGCTCTTTTAAATTCAATGTTATTCACTTTTGAATTCACGCATGGGGTGAAACTTCTGTCTCCTTATCCTTGATCCCAGCTTTTCTAATTTTTTTTTCTCATCTTGCAATAAGTTCATTTCATTGTTTGCCTTTTATATACTCTTGGTGTTGAATGCTTTATACCTATTGTTCTTTTTAAAAACCAAGGTTTCTCCATCTCCTTTCTTATATGAAAATGAGAATATTGTGTCTTGTTTGTAGAATTAGTATAGGGATAGAATCATCTACTGGGGAAATTCTGAATGTCTGGAAAAGCCCTTATAATTCAGGTTTCTTAAGCAAGCACTTTCCATCATTGTATAGTGACTTGGCTTCCTTAATGCACATCCTGTTACCTCCCTGCAACTAATTCCAGTCCTATGAATCAACACTCTCGCTAGTGGTGTGTGTATGTGGATGAAAGGAATATCTGCAGATGCTTATATTAATTGCGATAAAGTACTTTAACTGAGCCCGGACCATCTGCTCTCTGATCATCATGTAAAAGAAATGATTTTTTTTTTTTTTGGCAGATGCCTGAGGAAGAGAAAAACGGTGACTAACTCGGAAACAGAACCAAAGGATTCTGCCTTGGCTCTGGGCAAAACTTCACCAAATCTCAAGGTTTGTAATGCCTCCTTTTCCATTCCCACTTGAAGCAAGGAGCAGTTGAAGCAGTTTGGTATCAGGCAGCCAAACTAGAACATCTCGGATGGATGACTGGACAGACAGGTGGGCCTAAATGACTCACTGTTTCTTTTCTCTCACTCCTCTCATGCAATTCAATGACTTGTCAGGGGTTGTTCAAAGCATGGGAGGTTCAGCTTTGCAACCCACTAGGCCACACAGCAAGATGTGCTCTTCCTTCAGCATTGGCTAGACTTTGGCTGAACCTCTCTTTAGCCAAAGCTATTGCCTCATTTCTTTCTGACCTGCCCTCAGGAAGTCATGAGATGTAAGGCATTTCCTCTACCAGTTGGGGACACTGTCATCTTGCTGGCAGTTAGGACATGGCCTGTGACTCTTGGCTTCTGCTTGGACCTATCACATGTCACAGGTTCATCTTTTGGTGAGATGAAGTTGATTTTGCATGATGGGACCAGCCCTGAATTGCAAGGGGTATCAGAAGAGAAGAGGGCTCCATTCTTGGCCCCAGAAGTTGCAATATCATGAGAGTCAATGGAAATTATTGGTGAGTTTGAAGATGGATAGTCAAGGCTATAATGGTTCCTCCTAACCTATGGGTGCTTTGGAGAGTGCTTATTCTTAGCTGATGGGGAAATTATTGGTTTCCATTGACCCTCCTGATGTTGTAACTACTGGGCCAATAGTGGAGAGAACTTTTCTGAGCCAGTTTCCAATTCAGGACTGATCTCATCATCCATATGTACAGACAGATAGATCAGTAGTTTTCCTATGATATAAGCAAAATCAAGTTTGCTTTTAAGTTCAAAGTTTCTAATATGTTAGGGGACAAAAACTCAGTAAGGATATGACTGAGATTGTAGTGAGTCAGATTTTCTTCCTGTAATCCTTTCTCAAAATTCCAGAACTCGATGGGATTGATTGCAAACAGAATTAGTTCAGGGAACTCACTGCCACCAATACGTACTGAAACCCACTGACTTTGGAGATATAAAATGCGGGTAAAACAAATTCTGTGAAGGAGATATATCCACAATAGCTAAATTATTCCATATATTCAGAAGCAGTATATCTTTGAATACTAGATGCTAGGAACAAATAGTAGGGAAGGACAGTTGTCACGTTATGTTTGAGGCCTTCCTGAAACATCTGAATGGGCAGTCTTAGAAATAAGATGCTGGTATGGACTAGTAGACTCCAGCAAGATTCTTCCTATATTATTATTTTCTAAAAAGATTAACATTTGATAATGAAGCTCAAGCTCAGATACTTTGGTCACGTAATGCGAAGAGAGGACTCTTTGG